AAAAAAAAAAGGAAAAAACTAAACTTATTTTCCCATATTAATTTAACAGAATTTAATAGCTTAAGTTTTATTTGCAATTAACAAACCTTTTATTGCGACACTGTAGTTTTTGTTCATTGTTTTGGCAAAGATACCAAACGTCTGGTTCTGTAAACAAACATTACAATGTTACTTCAAATCTATTTTCAAGACAAACGCATAGACAAAACGGGATCCACATGCAAAAAGAAACAGGAGCTAAACAGGAGTGAATCTCCAACATAATTTACAGACAAGAAAATACAGTATTCAGCAACCGAATTTCAGTACCTAAAACAAATATTACTAACCTCCTTGAAATGCAAGTCTTTTTTGCCCGGTTCTGGGAGACAGCAAACTGAAACCAGGAAAAAAATCAAGAGCGAAATAACGAAATATCGCTTGCCCGCCGCCATCTTCCTTCGAACGAAACTTTGTTTTCAGCATCAGTCATGCGCAAAAGAAGTTGATGACGTTTACAAGATGGCGTTTCAGATCGTCACGGGTAGGGACGGGATGTTTTTTGTATTCAGAATTCAAGATGGCGGACTGTTGAAGGCAAAGGTGACAACAGTTGTCCCCTGCAAGAACTTTATACAGAAGCAATTATTCAAGCTGCGGGCTGGAGATAACATTGAGGTATTTCTAATCATAATGTTGAAGGGTTGAGAGAAAAACAGGGGAAAATGCCAACGAGGAGTAGGTTTTCTCAAGAAACTCCGAAAGATCAGATGTTTGGTTATGCAACTGTCTCTTGAACTTTCATCAGGCCATCTTTTGATATCTTTTCAGTATCAGTATCATATTTGCTCTCCAGACCGGACAACTATTTATTTTACCGAGCTATGGGAAAACTAAATGGGTTTGAATGGGGCTGACTGATCTTAAGCACGTGTATATTTCAGTGTAGCACTGTTTTGGAAGCGTTAACGTGTTGAGAAGTAAACAGACAAGTAAATTGTTTACTTTTGGAAACAAAAGCAAACTTTATAAGACATTTATAGGATGCATATATACCAATGTAGTGCTGAGTAAATAAATATGGCAGCCGAAAATTATAACCATAAAATTTTATAAAGTCAGTTCCGTAATAAAAACAGATACAATAACATAAACACAACACACGTAAAGAGTAGATATACCTATAAATTCAGTTGAAATAAGGGGAAAACATATACAAGATTCGCACTAAACTTATTGTGTATCTATCCTGTGTATAATGAATTAGGATCTATAGAAACTACAGTGGTTGACAGTTACTCGAGTTAGCGGCGGTTGAAACAAACCATGGAACCATATCATCAGCATTTTAACTCTTTCAAGTGACTTTTTGTTGGAGACCAGACCAGGTTTTTAGCCAGGATTTAAAAAGTGGCCATCCAAAATGTGCTTAATAGGACCTGCACATATAAACAGTTTATATGGTAATTACATACATGTATGAAAAATAAAACGATTTTCTTTACTAAGTGGCCGTCCACAGGATGCCTGGACACCAATCTGGCTAAAAGCCTAGACCAGACCTTCAAAGTTAATTCCAAAATTACAGTGTATATACCTATTACTTACCTAATAAANCCTCCCCTCAAGCACCCCTTTGAATAAGCGCCCCTTCTATCAGCCAAAATGTAAAATAAGCACCTCCCCTGGAATACATGTAAGCACCCTGTCCCCTTCCCCTGTTCTATGGAAGAGTACTCAGACAACAAAGGATATGTACATGTATTTATTGATCACGGGTTGTGTAATCTTGTCCCTGGGGTGTTATGTCATTGTGACACATTGTCACAATGCTTCATTAGGAGGATGTTAATTTACGTTGGTATATATATCATGTTTTCTTCAATATTGTATTCATTTGAGTCATACAGCCGCTTTTCCGCCCTCTAAAATACCCATGACTAAGGCCGACTAGTGTTTTTGAGTATCGGTCTACCTTGTTGTAAACTTTATTCAGTAAAGTTATTACTCAGTATGTATTTTCAGTTTTTGTTATTATGTGCAGGCCAGTATTGTTTCTTTAAGTCATTATTATGTAATTTTGATTGAAAGGACATAATAAAGAGGGTCATACAAGGCTTGTGTCGACACTCCCCGGAGGTGGTGGTTTAATACATGATTAATGTTTTTATACTCAGTTGAGCAGGGCAAATTAGAATATAAGTATTGTTTTGGTCATGCTCAATCACAAGCAAGTGATCATTGACTCATTCAAACACTGTACAATGCATGTCAGACCATCGCAAGTACGGATGACAGTGAAGATCTGCTAAATTCATTGCTTATTAAGCCCAACCACAGCAAGCCTGGACCAGCTAAAGGGATTGTATTACGTAGTTCTTCAAAAGAGCCAGAGTCCTTCTGATACTTCTGGGGGACTGACACATGCATTATATATTATAAAAAACCCAATGATAACTGACCACGCTTTGGGAAAAATTAAATAAGCGCCCCCCTTGATTAAGTGCCTCCCTCAAAAAAGCACCCTCCCCCCCCCCTCCCCCCAGTTTCCAAAGTTTGAAATAAGTGCTCCAGGTGCTAATTTGAGGATTTATGGTATTGGAACCAGAGGAGGATTACCTGGGAGGATTACAGATACTATTTAGATTAAAGATTAAATTCAATTACGGTAGACTACAAGTAGCCCCTCTTTCACTTACTTACTTACTTACACTTCTAAGTCCATCATGCGTGACGTGAAAGAAAACCGCATGGAAAAATTTCCATCTGAAATCTTGGGGGCAATTTTTCCTTGCAATTTATGCATGCTCAATGGTCATGCTCAATGGACTAAGCAAAAGAGGGACTACTTGTAGTCTACAATAAATTTATTATCATAATGGAAATACCATATCTTACAGTTTTAATTTTAAGTACTTTAAATTTATCTTATCCAGCAATTTCAGCTTCAGTTGTTATTTGAAACTTCATTATACTGCATTTTCCTAACTTATTCAGACTTTCCTTTGAAAAAAAACTTATTACAGACAAACAAGGCCCAACGATTTTGCAACAGGGTCAGTTGTGAATTCTGCCCAACGACAGAAATCTAACAAAATGATTATGATGGGTGCAATTGCTTTTATGCTGATTGGAGCCACGGTACAATATTTCTTTATAAGGTAAGTGTTTGTGTCTTATAGTAACAATAGGTCTTTTGCAGCAGTCAGTTACACATGACCAATAATTTCTTAAAGGAGCTCTGTCTTGGTTTGTGCATATTGAAAAAGTTTAGCCTCAATTTTTCAAATTCGTCGACTACAATCCGTGTTAATCTTCTCCATCCTTAGCCATCCTTGTTCCTTTATGGTTGATCATTATGTCTCTGGTATTTTTCTCTCTTATTAAACTGTTATTTTCAGGTTTCCTACCATTTAAGGGCAATTTTGTATGTGGCCAAAATAACTCAAAATACCGTGACTGAACTCCTTTAACTGTATGGCATATTTGTAGACGCTGTTAATCCATTTCTGATGACATTACATGTATGTATTTGTAATATACTACTGGTGACTAAATCAGTGTGTTCTTTAAAAGTATGTCACATGACCAACTGTTGCAAAAGGCCTATTATAATTATGTTAACAGTTATTATTATTTCAAGGCATATAAATTTTCTTTTGAAAATTTCGCAGAGATCTTTTGTATGTTATATGACTGCCATGTATGCACTAAGTATTCTACTGTATTGTTTGCGAACCAACCTTATGCAAGCAGATAACTTGTGTGTTTGTCCACAATAAATCCTTTCGCCCAATTAATAAATTTTACATGCACGGATGTAGCACACTAAATTTGACATTTTCTGTTTAAAAATGTTGATTATTGTCTGTGAAATTTGGAAAATTGCACACAAATATTTGTAGCCTGTGATTAAGCAAAGGTAAATTTTGTATACGGCTTCAGTAGCATGAGGCGAATACAACTGTAGTTACTGCAGTGGTATTTCTACTCCCACCTGGATGGGATGCTAGTTCATCACAGGGTTACCCCCAGCATTAAATTTGCCGGCACCTGGGTGGAGAGAGGCACTGAGAGAGTAAAGAGTCTTGACTAAGAACACAACACAATGTCCCCAGCCAGGGCTTGAACCTGGACTGCTCAATCTGAAGTTGAGCACCCTAACCATGAGGCCACAGTGCCTTGGCAACAAGATATGAAGACAACACCACATGTAACTCTGTACTGCAAGATGTCTGTGACGTGATTGTGGACTCTCTTTTCCATCAGATCACGTCATAATGTATACAGGGCCAAGGCTGATGAATCAAGCAGAAAAGCCCATCAGGTGTATGCTGAGGTCAGGGAAAGAGCAAGGTATGCACAGTACAAAACAAAATGTGGTTGAAGGGGCACTGATTTCAATAATTCAAAACATTAAAGACATAATATTATTTTCATTGGTGGAAAACTTAATATAACAGTCATGTTTTGTAGAAAATTACTACTGAACAGTAACTTTATTAGGGTACTGAAGCTACAAAATGTGTCAAAAGACTGATTCAATGGTTTATGTATCTCAAACCAAAAAAGTTAATGCAATTATTGTGCTATGATACAGTGCAGATATTTTTTGGTTTTTTTTTTCATTTAAAGGTTTAAATTTCATATGTTGCATACATTGTAATTGTACTAACGTACCCTTTGATTCAGTTGAATAACATTACCCTTTTCAAAGCTGTAGCACACTAATAAGTCTGAAAATGCTAGATGATCAGTGGTGAATCTAATAACAGCAAAATTCATTCTTGTTTCAGAGCAAATGGCCTTAAGAAGCAACTTGAACTTTTCGTGTCTCAACATAGCGGACTTGAAAAAATAGTTGCGGCAAAAGCACTGAAGCAGTTTTTTGGTGACAACAAGAAGTAATGTCAGGAAATGATAATATTATTTATTGATTCTCGTCATCAATGTGGAACTGGTATGTGTTTAACCTTGTGCTAGATAATCACACATTTCCCCAACATCATTAACTGGATGGACAGACTTTTAAAGGTTAATAAATACATATGTATATATAGTAAATGTTTGACTGGTTTATCCAACGTGATGTTTGTTACAAGACTTAAATTAGCGGTGGCTCTGTTAGGGTAAAATTCTTGTTTGGGACATGGTGTTGGAACAGTGACATTATAGAGGCTGATAAAATGACAATGACGCCTCTAACAAGGGGGGGGGGGAGAAGAAGGTTATACTGATGATGAAGAGGGATTTTTGAAGAATTTAATCACAAACTTATAACAAACAAAATGCATAGACCACTTGCTGACTAACCAAAATACCGGCATGTATGTGCGCATAAATTTAGTTTCATTGGATATCACCTAAGGAAGGTAACATTCACAAAACATATTTGGCTCCTGAAGGCTGTGTTGAATCAAGCTCAACAAATTTTTATCGTCAAGAATACTGTCTTAACATAAGATAATAATTATTACAATATTCTACAGTCTTGTCTGTTATGGTAAAGAACTTTATAGAAAAAAAGTAATTGTTTTTACTGGCATCTTATTTGTAAAATTATTCAGCAAAAAATAATGTACATGTAAGTTGGATGAGTTTTATCTCATTTTTTTTTTCAACAAGAATAAATAGTTGTAAAGATTAACTAGTCAGGGTGGATTGAATTAAAAACTATTATTTTATTTTTCCCCAGATTTATGTAAACCATTTTTAATTCTTTTCTGTAAATAGTCTGTCACTTATGTCAAATCTCTTGAGATGATTTTGACATAATTGTACTTACAGTACCACTACATACTTTGTACATGTTAACAGAAATTGCTATCTTGCAAGGTTTAAATTAAAAAAATATCTAGTATATAAAATGTAACAACCCATATTTATTGTTGTATTTTTCTCAACTGGGGGTTGTCACCTTAAAATCTATTTTGGTTGTCTACATATACATGTAAGACCAGTATGCTTGCAGTTGATGACTTGCAGTTCTTTTGCCTCTCTGCTTGCATGACACAAGTTCACATAAAAACTTTTTTTAAGTTATTCCAAAGTCAACCACACCATTGGGTCAGTTAATTGAAGATATGATTCTTGACTGACTTTTAAAATAATGTCTGGATGAAAC